AGCACATCTATCTTCGCTCATCCTCCGGCGGCCTCTAAACGGCGTCATCTTCGGATGCAAGGCCGGTAGTCGAGTTTTTGGAGGAGGACTCATCCATAGAAAGACCCGCTGTGTGGGACACCAATCGACAAATGACAGCATCGCCCGTCACGTTCACGGTCGCTCGTACCCGATCCAAGAACCAATCCATGGCCAGGATGAAGGAGAATCCGTAGGGCAGCCCAGTGGTGCCAAAGACGGTGTTGTAAGCCGAGATAATCAAGACCAAACTGGCGGCTGGAACCGAAGCGGTACCGGCACTCCCAATGGTGGACAGGATGACCAGCAAAATGTAATCGCTCACTGTCGGTTCTAGTCCATTGAGAACGGCAAGCCAGATTGCTGCGATAGGAAAGTAAATGGCACCTCCATCCATGTTGCAACTAGCCCCCATGGGAATAATGAAGCGAGAGACTGATTGGGGCACTTTGTGGGTGTTCTGGACAGAGTGAAGAGTGACAGGAATGGTAGCGACGCTGCTGGCACAAGCAAAGACAGTAGTTTGGGCCGGGATGAGGTGACGCATATAGGAGAAGGGGTTGGATCGAGTGATGAGCGCCAAGAGACCTCCATAGGTCACCACGACATGTGTGGCCATGGCGAGGCACACTGTGAGGATGAGCAGAGCCACGTTCTGAAATGCTTCGAGGAGGTCCTCCTGGTTACCAATCGTGCTGGCCATCAGGGAGAGAATGGCAAAGGGGGTGACGCTGAGCACCCACATGATGAGGAGGGAGAAGACTTTGTCAATTTCTTTCAAGAACTGAACAACTGTCGGTGTTTGCTGGCGTTGGCGCATTGGCAAAACCACAGTCTTGGCAAGGGCAACGCCAAAGACAATTGCAAAGACGACAATAGCAGCAAAGTTTGCGTCAATGAAGGAACCAACGATGTTGTTGGTGACAAGCCGTTGAAAGACGTCCTCGTAGATGGTATCTGAAAGGTCAATCTCCTCCATGGGGCTGTTGGCTTTAATATCTTCAATCAGAAATGTAGAACTCGTCGAGTTATTAGATGCGAGTCTGGAGCATTCCACAGATCCATCCGGATTGTGCGTCAGTACTGTTCCTTGATCCCCACATCCCAGCTGCACAGATGCTGGTCCAGCAACTGCTTCTTCATCAAAACTACCTTGCCGGTAGAGTCTTTGAAAGCTAAAGATATAGGTAGCAGCCACAAAGCAAGCCAAAATGGTAGTCAGGATATAGAAGCCTACCATTTTGCCACCAATCACACCTGCTTGACCCTGAGACATCATATCCACCACCGCCAAAATGACATTGACAAAGACCAGAGGAAGGACCACGGCTTGTAACGCCCTAAGGAACAAGTCCCCAATCAATCCCACCCATTGCAGGACATTGTCTTTGATATCTGCATTGCTGGGATCCCAAAAGCTCAGACCCACTCCAGCTGCAATGCCCACGGCCGCAAAGATCAATACAAAAGTCACGGGATAGCGACCAAGAATACCACAACCCAAGCCTGGTGCTTCAGGAACCTGATCTTCGTCTTTTGCTTGCAAGTCTTCTTCCTGTTCCACCACAATCATTGGAGCCACTGGATCAGCCGGGGGATCTGGCTGCTGGGCCAGGATGATAGCATCTTCATTCAATTCAACCTCCACCATTCCTTCTTCCTCTTCTAACGGTCTTCTGGAGGATGGTGATGATGGGGTATCAAAGTATACACTGCTAATTTCTGCTGCTGCTGCTGCTTCTTCTTCTTCTTCGTCTTTCCAGACTTCAATCTGCTCGACCCGCTGTTGTGAGGATTCGGCTTCGAGCCGCAGTGATCTGAGAAAGTTGGTAATCATTCTTCCTGAGCTCGAGGAATACAGAGGAATCGAATCGGTTGGGTTCTAGTTAGAAATAGTAGCGGCCAGCAAAACAAATTGTTATGAGTAGTGCATGATGACGCAGTCTGTAGGCAAAGCCATGGACTGCCCAAGCCCTCTTGGGTTCGACCATTGTGGAGAACACCTTCTACATGTACGTAGTGGTATATCTGTGACTGGATGAAACTAACGTCCAGTAGGACGATCCAGTCAACAACGCAAGACCATGGAGCTTTCCGTTTGCGCATCACCCCATCCAAGCCATTGCTGTCAGCCCGAGCATGATCAAGACTTGCTGTCTCTGGAGCTATTCATTTGATCTTGTGCTTGGCTACACCTCAACACACATGATCGATCGACGCTGCTTGAGCTTGCTTTTAAAAAAGGTGGACGCCCAAACGTAATAAGCCAGCTTCAGGCTGTTAATAAATAATGGTGTGCGCACCAACGATTATCGCGAGAGATCGAGTGAAATAACGAACAATGATGGAACCGAATGGCTGCTGCTAAAGGTGGGCTGGAATCCATGCAGTGCCCAACGATGAGGCTTCTAGTAGTACAACATGTGTTGCTATTAGTAGTATCGAGGTGTAGTCGGTGGTCTCTCCTTGATTTTCGATCGACCTGTTATCTTTCTTTGTTGTTGCAGAAGGTGCGACGATTCCTCGAATTCTGCTGCTTCCGACCGATAAATCTCGATGCCTGCTTCGAGTATGGCCCTGCAACCATACACTACTGTCTTCCTTACAGTATTAGCAGCAGCTAAGTATATGGTTGTAGGGCGATACAAGCAGCAGGCATCCAGAGAATGAGGTCTCTAACACAGACAGACATGTTTCGTGCTGATGGAGCTTTTCGCATTATTCGAACGAACGATGGAATCTTGGTTTCTTGTGTGCACCGAAACGAAATTTTTGAAATTCTAGGTTCGAATCCAGCGAGTGTGCAAATCCGTGTTCTGGGTACTATTTTACTATAGCTGCGAATTCGGCGAGCCGGAACAGCTGGCCAAATTGTGAGGCCAATTTTTGAATGTTCTGTTCCCCGAGACCGTTGGTTTGTAGAGAATGCAATGAGCACCAACGTACCATATCTTTTGTCCCGGAGGCTACAGTACGACGTCTCCGTGGTGTCAACAGCCAACCATTAGCTACATGACACATTAGCTGGCTAGCTAGAGCATTGTTCCTGATGCGTCTAGATGGCATTGGGGAGATCAGCCTCATCTTCACTGCTGTCGAGGTCTTCCTCATCTGATGTGTCATCATCTACTGTCAATGCAGCAAGATGCTCTGTTCCAGGCACAACTGTGTCTAATGGCATCTCCTCCAAGAATGCCAAATCCTGGGCTCCATCCTCTTCTAAAGCTAGCACATCTTGGGCTACAGCATCCTGCTCATCAGTTTCCTGGTTGATTGTAGGCAAAGAAGCAGCAGCACTAGTTGGCCCTTGTGGAGAGACCTCAGCCACAATATTAGCTAGCTTTTTGCCAGTTTGCCTGCAGAAGATTGGTGGAGCTTCCAAGTCACTCTTGCCAGCTTGTAAACAAGTCTTCTTTGCCTTCTTGCTGACATGACCAGCTTTGCCGCAGAAAGGACAATACTGCTTTGCCTTCTTTGCTTTCTTGCGAACTGGAGGCATCGACCTGAGATCCTCCATTGTGACGTCAGCCATATTGAGGCCGGAGTGGTAAACGCCCGATGATTTTGCAAACTTGGTCTTGAATTCTTCCGTAGCGTTGACCAGTTTCTCGTTTTTCCTCTTCTTGCGCCCCTTTTTGTAGTCAGTCGTCTTCTTCCTGGCTTGTCGCTTCTCCCGGTTTCTCTGCACAATGCCCAAGTAGTGAGTCAATTCGTCTGTCATCTCAATTCCAAGCTTGAACAGTAGCCGCCGATAGAACTGCTCGTAGCCAATCGAATGGATGCAGACCGCAATACCAAGCCGATTGGCAAGGGAACAGGAGCTCGCAAAAACCTTGTTCTTTGGAGCAAACCAGGTGGCCAAGCTATTGAACGATTCATTGGCATTGGTATCCAATCCGTGGGCCAATTCCTTCAACCGCTGCAACGTAATGTATTTCGAAACGATTGCGTCCAGTAGCTGGTAGAGTTCCGAATCCTCCTCCTGCGTTCTGTAAACCTTCTTGCTTTTTTTTTGCTCGTCCTCCGTCTCTTTCGATCGAGCACACCAAGCTCCACAGTTCGTATGGCTTTCAAAGTGGTGATCCAACACCGCCTTGCCACGGCTTTCGAATTCAGCTTCCTCGATCTCTTGGAGCGTACGAATAAAATAGGCAAAGTTCTTGCCAATACGGATAGAATCCATTCGGCACATCCCCCTTTTCTTTTCAACTGTCGACAGATCCAAACGGATCAGCTCACCCGTCAACTGTTTGCGGCGGTGGTTCGGAAACTTTGGCTCTGGGATATCACCCGGTAATTTGCCTTTGTCGGGGCGTTCCTGGAGCTCGCCCTTGTTCTTCCCTTTCGTAATCTTGACCATGGGAAGAACGTCGGTCTGATAGTTGATTTTGTAGTTAGCGTTGCTCCATTGCAAGTCAGCTCGGATGGATGAGTCGTCGTCGCAGCACAATCGACGCAAGATCACTTTCGACTCTCGGAAAAATCCAACGACAAGCTCCAAAGCAAGAGCGGCCTCCATTGACCCAGATGAGTCATTTGGATTGTGGTTCCGGGTGCAAGTGTGGTCCGGAACTGGTGGGCGATTATCGGAATCAGTATCCGCATGCCGCTTTGCCCAAGCAGTGCATCGGCTGCAAACCTTGCTCTTGATGCCAAACGAAATGATCTTTCTCGTAATGGCGCCAACAATCACACCGTGGCCTGACACGGAATTACGCAAGTGACCGGATCCCTTCTGTTGCCATGCCATATCGTAAGCCCCGTCGACAAATGGCATCTTCTCCTTCAGTAACGTGCCGTTGGGATCGTTGACCGTTGCCATCCAATCTCGAAAAGCTTGCTCGTTGGCTGTCGATTTCCGCACCTCCTCAACTAGATTTTCATGGATGACTTCTTCCATCAACTCCCGAATGGATGGTGCGATTCGTTCTTCAATTATTCCGAATGAACGAGTTTGCATGGTTGTGTCGTTCGGTAAGCCCAAAAGACCGAGGATTCTTGCGCATTCGGTTCCACCGCCACCATTCGCCATTGTGCCCAAAACTAACATCACATTCACCGCATGATCCGTACTCCTTTCGACTTTGTCGTAGCCAGTGGAATTTGCATGCATTGTGGTTGCGGTTGGCTTTTTGCTCGTATAAATGTAGTCACAATCATCGTTGGTACATTCCAGTTTGAATGTCGAAGCAACACAGCAATTGCGGATTTTGAATTGGAGCGAGCCATCACATTGGTCTGTTGGACACGACATTTGACGGAAACAATCGTCCAATTGGTTTATTTCAAAGATGGCTCTTTTATGCGGTTTGGTGTTGAATGTGGGCTTGTTCGCTCCCTCATTTTCCTCCTCTGCGATGGCTTCTTCTTCTTCGTCTGCTGCTGCTTCCTCTTCAAACTCCGGTGCAGTCGGGTTGTCTTCATCGTCACTGGGATCCTCACCGTACAAAGTCCTCGCGTAATTTGGTCTTCCTGCCCCATTGTGCCTCGTCCGGGTAGTTACGGCGGAATGGCCACTGCCAGGAATTCTCCAGCCACCATACCTAGAAGCTAGCTTTGCTGATTCAGTAGCAGCATTAGCTCTCCAATATGAAGGAGATGTCAATCCTTCGCTGGGAGTAACAACACGACGAGGTGGCGGCATTTTGGCTACCGTTTTGTGGGAGGTGCTCTTTCCACTATTGTCAACAATATGTTGCCGGGAAGAGAACATAAAAATTTGGCGCTCACAGGATACCTTTCCGGTGGGTCGACTGGCTCTCACATGGTTGAAAGACTTAGAGACGAACCCAGGTGAGGTGCGCGATCGATCTTACGAACCCAGCTTTTGGCTCGAACTCGAAAAGAATCTTTATCCGGTGAGAGTACCAACTATCGAAATTCCAAATTCCGTACATATGCGAAAGATCATATGTTTTTGTACGTCATTATTTTAGTAGCCTATTGCTGGCTTATTACATTTGGGCGTCCACCTTAAAAAGGGCAAAAGAGGGAGGGGCTTATTAATTTTGCGTATGCGTATGCGTTTGCGCGACTATACAATAGTGAGTACAAAACACGCAAGCTTTCACTAGAACCAAAATAGTACCAAACTTCCACCAACTAAAGAATAAATACTAAGTTCTATAGCTAGTTTCACTTCTTTGTTGATTGTGTGTTTGCATTAATTTTGTCAATAACATGTACCATATAGCTGTGACCAAGAAGAAATTCAATGATAGTTCTCAAAACATTGTAGCCATCTTCGATAGGCATCCGCAAGTTGCGGTACTGGTGGTAAACCTCCCGCTGCCTTCTCTGATCATCAGACATTATTATACCTATGAGCAAGAATGGTAACAACAAACAATGATCTCCTCGGCGTACAGACATGGTGGTGTGTGATTGCAACCACCTGCTGATACAAATAGATTCTTCAGGTGGCCCTAACTGGCTTTGGCACCTGGATTTATCTACAGCTGCTTAAGCTAAGCAATGCAGTTGTTGGTTGGTTAACTTGTGTTGGAAACTGAGTGAAACTGTTGTTGCTGCAGGAGACATGTTGCCATTCAGTTGGTCTATGCATTGAAACCTTCACCACGATTTGCTAAAATGCAAGGTAAAGTGTACCGTTAAATAAAAACACACTTTCCACGATTTTCTATCCTGCAAGGTAAAGTGTGCCGTTAAATACAAACACACCACCACAACCAGCTTACCAGAGAAATGCACTGCGCCTTTAAATAAACACACTTGAACACACCAATTTACCTGTTGCCAAGAACCTGCCACATAAATAAACACACCAAAACACACCAAAACACACCAAGGAACACACCAAGGTATGTACACACCAAGGTACACACCAAATTCGCAACAACCAAAGAGGGAAATGGAAAGGGCGCTCACTTGCGCGGATGAGGGCTCAAAAAGGTTCCGCAAATGGCGTCTGTCATGTCCAAGTCTTGCAGCGTCCCCGTAGAAATTGTACTGGACCGCTACGGTGGACCACGGCTGAGTTCGCGGAACATCGAACAGGACTTCCAGTATCCAAGATTGATGTGAAAGATCCTTCTTCCTGTTGCACCTCTCCAGACTGGTGGGAGCTCTGAAGAGAGAAAGAAGAGACGATGGAGGACCTCCTAGGTTCTACATCATGTATTACTACTAGTAATAGCTCCGAGCAAGAAAACCGCTACGTAGCCGCAGTGCCATACCAATGGCCGTACCATGGTGTCCTGGCACCGTCCAACACTTGCCTTGTCGTGATTGGTACGTCGCTCGTCGCTCTGTATCAGAAAATGTGAAAGCTGAAGCGCTCTGATGGCTCGCGGTCGGCTGCAAATTTCCTTCCTATAGACATGCAGATTGATTTCTGTGGGAAAGGTGGCTACATGGATCAGGTAGGTGGAACTGACTGGGTGGGTGGCGAGGAATGATCAAATCACATATCATAATGTACAATTCAGGTCCAGAACTCACTGTAACTTGAGACTATTTGCGTAGCTGGGTTATGATTTGACACCCATGAGAGCGATCATTCGCCCCATTTCCAGAGTATTGGACTGCATGAGAACCAAGGGATATCTCATTATCCATACACGAGAAACCTATCGACCCGATCTCGCGGATTGCCCTCCCGCTCGCCTGTGGAGGACGCAGCAAGCAGGCGCGGGCATTGGATCCAAAGTTGGCAGTGACGGCAGCGGGCTTTTGATACAAGGAGAGCCTGGATGGGATATCATTCCAGAGCTGAAGCCTTTGGAAAATGAAAGTGTCATTGATAAGCCTGCACGGGGAGCTTTTGTGGGGACCAGCCTCGACTTGATTCTGCGCAACAAGGGAATCCAAAATTTGATTCTCTGCGGCGTCACCACCGATGTATGTGTGCATTCCACGATGCGACATGCGGATGATTTGGGCTTCGAGTGTCTATTGTTGGAGGTAAGGAAAAGGAGACGATGACTCGATACCAGACCTCGTCATCTCCTCACTCTGCTACGGCACGTTGCACACACAACAATATATCCCATTCTACATGCACAGGATTGCTGCGCTGCATCCAAGCCTTCCAATCACAAGGCTGCCATTGAAATGGTGAAAGAAGAGGGCGGAGTTTTTGGAGCGGTTGCGGATTCCAGCCAGTTGGTCCTTGCCTTGGAAAGTTAAAAAGAAAGGGAGACACGCTGACGGCTTGTCGAGTGCGCTTGGTGCATGTTGCAGACAAGAGCAATGACGGGCAAAGAGGTGTGAGCAAGGGTCGCAATCCTTGGAAGTTACAAGCCCGAGCCTGCCATGATCATGCATTGTTGCGCTGTCCACCGAGCGGTCTCGAAACCACACTCAAACCCTCGGTTACACCCACACGGCCCCTTGCCCCATTCTACATGTATCCCTCAGGGATTGCCTTTTGATAGGAGCCGGCGGCTGCAAAATACACACACGAAGAAAGAGTGGACGTACCGTAGGAGGACACGACAAGCTGAAAGGCCAGTTACAAAAGTTTTGCCACAGCTTCAGCCCATACCACCAATCTAGTAGTCACCATCTGTACAACATGCACTACTAGCTAGAGCAATACTAGAGCAGTATCGTCACTTGTTTAGTTGCTGAACCACCTGGAAGCACATTCCGAGCATACTGTACGCTTGTTCCAAGCGCGCCCGCTGTTTGGAATTCACAGATGTTGTCGATTCGATTGGCAAGCACCCGTCAATCTCACACGTCACATCAATGCATCCCACTTGAAGTTCATGCAGCGGACAGCACTCGCGATCGTATGAGCCAACCAAGGGGCGCATGCCTATGACCAAATTGATGCTCCCAGTAACGGCGATTGTCATGGTTGACAAAGGCTCCAGGGGGTCGGGAATTTGCACGATGCACTTCAGCACGGAGAGCCTCGCTAGCTAGCTAGCGAACGACTACATCAATCCCAGCGCCCACGGCTGGCTTTGGTATCTTTTCATCCAATCCAATACGGTAGGGGTTCGACAAAACACAACATCCCACCCTGTTCGTCAAGGTCTGCCTATCTCTCCATTGCCCTGGTCAAGGCGAGCTAGCCAGCTAGAGAGTCAGTCTCTCAATTGTGACATTAGTTGAGGTTATTGTCTAGTAAAGATCCTGGCTGGTGTGCCGCTTTCTCCTTGTGTACTGTACATGCTGCTGGTCAAGCAAACATCACAAACCAATCCAAGGAGCCCACCCTGTTTTCGCTCCAAACAATCACCCCTCGGGAGCTCTCCTCGCATTGTGTATTGTCATTCTTTTTCTTTACAGATTACTTGATCGTCGCAATGAACCTACCCGCATGCGCAGTGTTCCGTACAGCGCAAAACATGTGAAAGTGCTATGCCTAGCTAGTGCTGCAATCCACGCAGATGACACGCTTTCGGCAGTCGACTCAAAAACGCTCATCACAGTCATGGCAGACATGGAGTGGTCCACAATCGTTGCACACAAAGTGCTCACAGATGGAGCAAGATTCCTTGCCGGAACGGCATTCCTCGCAATGAACTTTGTAGCAATGGCACCAATACAGCCCATCATTACGTTCAGTACAGTACCCACATCCAACACATGCACCACAACCGGAGCAGTTGACAAGCTCTCGGCATGTTGCACAGAAGCGGTCACCACAAGAGGGACAGGAATTGAGTGGTCCACAATACTTGCAAACGCGCACAAGGCAGCCCTCATTCTGGCAAAATGCCATCACATCATCGTTTTCGATGCAGGGATGGCAGGCAACGTTGTGGCATTTGTTGCATGTCTCCTGAGACTCCCGGTCAACAAATTTCTGGCAAAAATTGCAAGGAAACAAAGAAAAAGCAAAAAGGATGCAACATTCACACTCCGTCATTTTCTTTTTTTTCTTGGCATGTTCACTGCTGGCATCATCATTGCCTTCGTCATTGTTCTCGTACATGTACTTTGTCGTCCAGGGGTGCTCCTTTTGAAGCTCTTCTCGCAGAGCCTTTTGACACTCCAGCTTGCTTCCATGTTGTTGGCAATAGTAGTTCGTCACTAGAAAATGATTTGAGAGTTGAGGGATTTCCATGCAATTCAAAACAGATTTGCAATCCAAAAAGCTGAGTACTTCTTCGGCCAAAAAGGAAGCAGTCAATCCAGACGTAAGAAGTAAGAAGCGCACTCGGACCAGTGACAAATCCAGGGGCGGCAGGAGCGCTGCTCCCAACGCTGCTGTTGTTGATGTCTTTGTCGTTCTTGGACTCCTCCATGGTGAAAGAGAATGTGTTGTTTTGCCGTGGACGTGAAGAACCCTCCTCGAAAAAATTGTGGAGAGATGGTGCACGAACGAATTGCCCAAAAAATGCCGCCAAGAAATCGGTTCAAAAAACACAGCACTGCACTTGTCAGAAAGGTATTTTCGTATGACGGACAGACGACTCGGGATCCACAATCACGGTTCGTGATTGGGGATGTGTGACTCAAATCAGATGGTTATCCGATCATCATCAGATGGCCAGGTGTACGAGGAACGAGGACAATGGTCGTCTAGATGATGCAACTACAAAGGCTAGGAAGTTAGGTCGAAGAGATGAATGCAAGGAGCGACGGGATGGAACAAATGAATGGACGGAGAAGGCCAATTTAGTAAAAGTGGGAAGCCCCCGCCACACCATGCACCGCAGAAGATAATCGACGATATTATCTAATAGATGAAACTGGCGAGAAGCAAGAGGATCGAAAGATGCCTGGTATATTATGCATATCGGAGCCAGTTGAGAGCTCACAACTGAACAGAGAAGGAAGAGAAAACAAACCGAATAGCCAGTCTACTAGACAGTAAGAGCGGAAGGATATTGAAAATTAGGGAAATTGGCGTTCAATCACACCTTTCAACACTTTAAAACAAGCTACAGGAAAGAGTGAGAGCGTATCCAAGGTTGCAAACAGAAAGAGAAGAATGAAATAAGTAAGATGTCTACGAGGTAGAGGTACATCCGGCGACAAGTATCCCATCCTTAGATGGGAGAAGAGAAGTCATTTACAAGGGGTCCACAGCAAAATTAAAAGGGGCCATTTATGAATATGTACTAGAACTGATAAAGACTCACGAACAAACCGTACAACTGGGAAAACCCTACAGTACGGCAAGTTGTCGGACAGAGGTAAAAAGACGAAAGTTCAAGAAGAACACAAAGGCTGCTGGAATACGCTGGATTCGATCAATGTGGAGACCATCGAAGGCAAGTCGCCTTCGACCTACTGGCCTCACAGA